ATTTCCTCTTCCACCAAGTGCATCACTACATACAGGCTTGATTTACCTCATTAAATACTACAATGTGACCACCAAATGCAGAATCACATAGATAAAGATTGTCTTGTTCTCTCCCCTCAGTAACTGCAGAACTAAGGGCTGGGCAGAAGACTTACCTCTAACCCTTCTTGACCTTTAAATGCTTTATCTTGCAACTTTGTATTCTAGCTGGTAATAACTTCCACGGGGGGGAAAAAAACAGTAATTTTCTCTTTATGGACATTCAAGGGGAATATCCTTTTTCAGTGACTGTAAATTGTAAGACAATTATCCATATAAATCTTAAAAATACTGATGAAAATCTCTCAGTATTCATATTCAAATATCTTTCCTCAAATTTGCTAAATCTCTTTTTGAAAGTATTTTAGAATGTAAGTAATGTGTTATAATGCACTTCCCAATCACCATAAGCTGTTTTTCAGGCAAGTCTGACTGTGGAGAAATGGCAGATGAAATGCTTCAAAGATTATTTTGGAGAAGTCAGATTCACTTGTTGACAGATGAAGATGTTCTGGTTGACAGATGAACATTTACATTGTATTATTAAACAAACTGGTATCTCACTCCTACAGCTACCATCATGCCACTATGTAAAAATTACTATGTAATTTTTCTGATGTATTCAGAAAATAATACAGTGTTTTACCATATCCTTAAAAAATGAGCATCTTGAAATTTCCTGATCCTCAAGTCAAAGTCAGTATACCTGCAGTTTCTCACCATCTTCTTTTTTTTTTTGGTAGCTGGACATAAACCCACCATAAATGTTAAAGTAACTATAACATTTGATCCCAGACTATGTGACAGAATGTCCCTTTGCTGTTCTACAGGTACCCCAAACTCCTGTGCTATGAGTGGATAAAAGCAGGACTCAACCTGCTCAGAAGGAAAGGTCAAAATGTATTAAATGAAGCAACAGGCAGAAGTTGGCTGATATTATCTACATTTTCTTTTACTGCCACAAGAAGTTATTTTTTTCAGCAACCATTTAGGATTATCTGTGTAATTCAAGGGATTTCTACAGTATTTTCTGTAGTACTTGTCAACCTCTGAGTGAACACACTCAACACCCAGTATCAGAGCTTCCTCACTGACACCAGATGTAATACAGTAGGTTTCCCAACAAGTTCTGAAAAAACTTTCTTCTGAACATATTTCTGCAGGTATAACAGATGACTATATAACAGGACTTGCACAGGTTGCTACTATCACCACCATATTAAGCAGCACTTAATAGACATTCTTGAGGACAATTCTGTCAGAACAGCCAAGAACTAGTATAGCACCAAAACTGGAAGGAGTTCATGAAGGCCACGAAACCTTCTCCCTGCCTTTTAAGGGTCTCAGAGTATGTATGATAATATACATATACATTATAACTATAGTATAATCGTGCTCTGCTAATGGAACAGCACAGCAGGTGCTCGAGTCAGTACAGGTATCAACATTAACCTAGTCTCTTTCTTCAGGGTTGCTAAAAGAAAAGGACAAGGGCAAAAAAAAAGTTTCCTAACAGTTTCTGTAAAGCCACTAGCATGGTGAAACAATCCAATTTGATAGACACAAACCCTGTGTGCAGATCAATGCTACAGAGCTAAAAGTTTTTTTCCCCTCCTCCTGCCTTTTGTTTGCTACTCATAAAGCACAACTGTCTCTTAACACTGAACTCCCATTTTCCTTTTCTTGCCATCTACCCTTTAATCTTGCCACAGGCCCTATTCACATTAACTTAATCAGCTCCTCCTTCAAATGTAATTTTAAAAGTCTAAAAATTCTAATTTCCCTGCATTTCTCACTTAAGTGAGACAGAGGAAAGCAGAAGTGGAAGAATTTAAATTATGCACAAGGATTTAAATGAAACACCTATCTCAAACTTTCATTTCTATACTGCTCACACAAAAATAAAATCTCTCTGTACTTCTAGCAGTGTAAAAGCCATTTTACAGATCATTAACTGTCACTATAGTCTTGCAAAAACATATGCATATGAAAAAAAAGAAAGGACAGAGAGAGATTTCAACTTAATAAAGATACCCAACACAGACAAAACTTTAGCACTTGCAAAGTTTAGTGCTTTGCAAACTACACCATGGTTTGTAATAACCTAGAGGCAAGCTTCAACCAAAACTCATTTTCAAGATGATTGCTAGGACCACTGCTTGGCGTACAGAATCGCAGTACCATCACAAGAAGCAAGGGCAGCATAGGTTTTGAGAAATTAGCTCATTCATCTTTCAGCCCCAAAACAGGACCATCTTTACTGATGTCATAATTCCTGAGAGAGGGTTATCCAACCTGTTTTTAAAACAAGGTTCTGAAACCTCTGGAAGTTATATCAGTATTCATATCACCTAGCCTAAATCCTTTCACTGCAATTTAAGTATCCCATTACTTTTCTTATCCAAAGTAAGGACACAGAACAGGCTGTATGCCTCATCAATGCAGCTGCCTTTTGCAGATTTAAAACTCAATTACTTTCACTTTTCTCTTTGCCTAGACCAAACATTTCTGATTCCTTCCATTACTCTGGAAATACTATGTGCTGGGCTTGTGATCATTATTTTCTGCTGAACTTTCTCCAGCTGGCCCACATGAAGTGTGCTGCACAAAACTGAGCAGAGCACTCTGTATAAAACAGGATTGTGTCATGTATTTTACAGGCCATACTTCTGCTTGTACGTCCCCTGTGTGATGCTGGACTTTTCTACAGTGGAAAATACTGCTGATTCATGTTCATCTTTTTATTCAGCACAACAACCAGATCCTTTCTTAAGAAACAGCTGCATAAGCTGTTTTTATCCTCATTATATGTTTCTGCAGCTGCATTTTTTCCCAATTGTAGTAACTCCACATGCCCGTAGGGAGCCACCACCTGCTTTCCTTTAAACCACTTCTCTAAATTGTAAGCATCATTATGAATCCTAATCCTGTCCTTCAGCACGCCTGCAGCAGCTCTCAGTTTTATGTCACCTGTCAGTGTAACTGGCAAACTCATCTGCTGCATCGAAGTCCTTAACTAAAATACCTATTAATAAAATCCAGGAAATAGTCTGCTCTACACCATTGTTTGCTTTGGGTTTTGGTTGGGGAGGGGGGGGTGTGTCCTTTTCCTTTTTTTTTTTTTTTTGGACAGTGAAATGTCTATAACCACTCTGAGAAAAGAGCTTTATAATTGTCCAGGCAGGTCTGCAACCACACTGACAGCATGTATTCCAGGGCATACTTACCCTTTTTTATCAGCTTATTAGAATGGCATGAGAGAAAGCATCAAAAGGTTCACTTAAGTCAAGTTATAAGACGTGAACAGATCCTCCTCTATGCATGAGGTCTGTCACTCTATCAAAGGAGGAAATTAAATTGGTTTTGACATTTGTTCTTGAGCCAGCTCTTACTCATCATCCTGTCATCTTCTCTTAGCTTTCAAACAGCACAGTAAACATTTGTTTCAGTATTTTTAGAGAAATTAAAGGTAACTTGAGAGGGTCAACAAATGCCTTGTTCTTCCTTTCGTCATTTTTAGAGTAGTATTGTGCTTGCCATTCATCACTCTGTCATCTCACCTGCACCCCATAATTTCTGAAAGGCACAGCACTGAGATTATCTCAGGAACTGGTTGAAGCAAACCACAAGGAGCTCAGCCAAGCCCCTACCAGTTTAAAATCATTCCACAAAATCAAGCACTTGAACATGTTTCATCTTAAGAGGTGAGATGTTGTCCTCTGAATGTGCCCCACTGGTTGCAGAGAAGGTTAAGGTATCTAGCTAAAAACAGATGTTAACCTTCTGAAGCTAAAGTTATAAGACACAAACCCTAAAACTCCATGTCCTACTGTAATAATTTTTCAGTAACTGTCTAGGTAGCCAAAGTCTGACGTAACTAGCAATTTGGGTTCACTCTCTGATATGATTTACAAAAAGTCTTATCCTCCTGGTCTCATTAGTTTGATGGTTTGAAAACAAAACCAAAAACAACCACCCCCAAAAAACAAACCAACAAAAAGCCCCCCAAAAACCCCAGAACAACCACCTTCTGAAATTGCCCTGATTCTTTCCTCTTTTAACATTACTAGTTTACAACATTGTTTCTTATACCATCCAGTTCTTCCATCAGGATATGAGTTTTATTGCCCAATACATGTCTTCTTTTCTTCGTGGTTATCTTACTAAGTTAAGCTACAAAATCCTATATTAACATACCAATCAAGTGAATTATTCTTCCAGTATATAAGTAAATATCTTTGAACACCTGTTTTTGTTTATTCAGTTGATACCTTGTGTTAGAATACCAAGTATCTGTCTTTCAGCACTGTGACCTGCTACTCTCTTTCTCCATTGCCCATGCTCAATATTCCAGCAGTGAGAAAAGTGAAAATTAATCAATCCCCTTTCATTTTCCCTCCTACCATAGCACAACTTACTTTGGAACACTCACTAATAAAGACATTATAAATACAGCCCTTCTCTTTTAATGCAGAGATGTTCAGATAAACAAAGAAAAAAGCAAGGACAGAAACATGGATTGAAGTGCTTGAACTCACAATTTTTGCATCTCTTTCCTTACAAATCCACCTACCATGTCAGTCAGACCTCACTTGTTCTTCATTCTGTTTTGTTAATTTCAAATTTCTTGATTCTTACATTTATGTCTTCATAATGTGAATAGACTGTCACTGGCTTGTAAGTAATTTTCTGTCATTTTCAGAGTACTTCCCACCAAGAGCTTAGTATCTCTGATGCTTGCAGTTTTCTTTAGAGAGGAACCTAGTTGAAACTGGCTTGGTACTGGAAAAAAAGATACTGCAAAACAGTGCAGCATATAAAACCAGCAGATAAGCCTCTTCCCTTGTGTACTTGCTATGCACATGCTTTTGTCCTAAGGGGAGGTAAAACAGTAACACCAGCACAAAATTACTCATTCAGCAGTAATCTGTAACCGTGTTTATGAAAGCTGCACAACTTACGCAATCTTGGCACAGACTGAGCACTTCCACTGCCCATCCGTTCCCATGACACGACACTTATTGCAGACTCGAAGCTTGCAGGTTTGGCACAGGTCTCCTCTGTCAAAGATTAAGCCCAGGCTTTTCTGACAGCGAATGCAGACCCTGCTGTTGTCCTGCTGACAGTGACGGTTTCCACCTTTCCTTCTTACTTCCAGAAGCTCATTTTTCAATTTCCTAGAAGTAAGAAAAGAAAATCTTTTAATTTGGAGATCCAACTCCAAATTTGGAGATCCGTAAGAACTTTTCAGCTGATTCAGATTTAGAGCTAAAAACTACAAGACAAAAATAAGTACAATACAATTTTTTAAATATATTTGCTATATTTTTTGACACACATATGACAAAGAATAAATCTATTCGCCACCTCTCAGACATGCAGTCCAGAGAAAAATCTTGTGGTAGATCAGTATAAGCAACTGCAGACAGCTGAGCAGTTCTGGACAATTGGTAAATCACCTTTGCTTGTCCCTCATCAATAATTCAAGTCATGCTGAGCCCAGGTTGACAGCAGCTCAAAACTGTGACTATTCTGTGTATCCACAGAAGAAAACAAAAATCTTCCTTTTAATTTGTGCGTATTTAATACTATGCCAGTGTAGAGTTATTCAACATACTAGGCTATTTAAAGCCTAAAAAAACCCCTAAAACAAAACATCTAAATAGATAGTGGTGTTATGCTGTGATGCCACAATTAAAAAAAAAAAAAAAGGAAAAATAAAAAGAAAAGTATAATGTCAGTTTAAATAATTTAAATAATGCTACTTTCAGATTACCAGTTCTGCCACTGACTCTACAGAATACAAATATTTGCATTTAAGACCTAATTTTGAAAGCCTAAATTTCCATGGTGCATGAATTTGGTCCATAACAAGAAAATAACCATAAGTGAGATCTAACTACTATATTTCCAACAGCAAAAGGATGAATTTGAAGAAAAAGAATATCAGGAACATCCAACCAGAATCTCCCACATTCCAGCCTGTTCCCATTGCCTCTTCTCCTTTCACTGTGTACCTCTGAAAGGAGCCTGGCTCCATTTTTTCTATACCGTTACAGTAAGGACTTGAAGACAGCAATCATGTCTCATCTTTGCCTTCTTTTCTGAAGAAAAAGCAAACCCAGTTGCCTCCCTTTTATGTCATGTGCTCCAACCCTCTAACCACTCTGACAGCCCTCCACTGAACATACTCCAGTATGTCAATGCACCCTCCTGTTCTGAGAAGCCCCAAACTGGAAACTGTATTCCAGATGTGGTCTCACAATTGCTGAATAGAGACGATAATCACTGACCTCAGCTGCTAATGCAGTGCTGTATGTGGTCAAAATTGTTATGCCCACCCACCACTTCTTAGTTGAAGCTCCATCCACTGAACCTCCAGACTCCTCTTATCCTCTCATCTATCTCAATCTTTTCAATAAACCACCAACAGCTGCTCTGCTCTCTCCAGGCTCTTTCCTGACTGCCTCCCAGAAATCCCTCCTATCTAAGCTCCTCCATCTTTTCAAACCCTTCCTTCACTCCACTCTACCCCAGAATACCTCCTCCCCAGGGCCTCAGCTCAGCACCTGCTAAGTTCTCAGTTTTAAAAGCCTGGGTGTTGCTGTGTCCCCATTCCCTCACCCTTCCCTATGCCCTCTTTCATGTGCTGCCATCAGCCAAGAGCCTCCAGAGTATCTCTATCATGAAGCACTCCAGATCACTGAAATCACAATCTCTGCAAACACATAGATGCTTAAGGGGATTTTAAAAAGCTGCCTACCAGCTTCACCTAAAAATCAGTAAAAGTGTAATGAAGAAAAACACTTTAGGAAGATAAAACTAATAAAAGATCACAGGTTGCAGCCCAGTGAAGGAGGCTTAGGAATGTTGCTTAGGCCACCAGAGACTAAACTCTGACAGATTTAGGTCATTTGTGGATAACTGCCTTGCTAAAAAGTTGACTAGCATTTTGCTTCCCACTGGGATCCCATGAACAAGAGCTGCTCTGCAGCCACCTGGCCTGCAGATGCTCAACCTCTGACAGCTTTTGAAAAAGGCAATGTCCAATCCCTCCAGGCAGCAACCACAAATTCTGTCAAGTGTTTTCCTCTGCTGGTCTCTATCCAAAAGTGATTTCTCCATTCTGCTTTGGACCCTTTTTGTTCCACATTCAATCCAAACAGACCTTCTCTCATGCCGTACCCTTCCAAAGTCTGTCCAGGCTTCATGAGCTTTCTTGGTACTTCGCTAATTGTTCTTGCAGTTTATCACTTGCATCTGACATCTACCTACCTCCTGCAGAGATACACTTAGTTACAGGTCCATGCCCATTTCGTTCTTCTGTCAATCAGTCAGTTCCAAATGCAGACAGGTGACCCACAACACAGCAGCTGCCAAATGCACTGCAATATTGCCACTGTGCATAGGGAAGGCAAATGATCACCACTTTTGCTCCACCCTCCTTGGATCTACTTCCTAAACAAGCCTGTCTTCAAACAGCAAAAGTCAATTTATCTGCTGCTTCTGACTGAGAACTAAAGGCAAACCCCTCCCTGCTACTAGACACTCTTGACCACACCATTTTAAAAGAGATATCACACCTATTCACTTGAATAACAAATACACTTTTCAGTGCTTGTAAAGACATCTAATTACCACCAAGGTTATGGTCACTTACATTTCACTAAATATCAAACAACATTCACAAAATGTTTGACAATTTACTGTCTCCCCTCTCAACAGTGTGAATTTTCTAGAGACAAATGATTGTGCTACATGGCCCTTTTAGTACACCCACTTTTAGTACCAACTGATTTCAGGGAAATTTGTTGAGATTGGATTGTTCTTTCACACATTGTAGCACTTCCCAGGTTCACCACAAAGCCCTCACTGTCACAGCTGAGCATCTTCCTTCACCAGGAACTCTTTATCTGGCCAATACTTCACACTTCTGCCCCCTCGCATCTACTTTTTGTCTCCCTGAAGCTTGCTGAAGTCACCCACCTGCCTCTGCACTGGGTCCACCCAATGAACAGTGCTCAGAACTGCAATGGGGAACACTGCTATCAGGAGACCTTCAAGCATGGAAAATGTAGACTCAAGAAAAATAAAAGGAAGGGCAGATCCAGTTTGCACCTGACACCTGGATCACCATCTTCAGCTGCACCCACCAGTTTCTGTTCTACCTTCTCCCTGTGAGCTGACACTAGATAAGGACACACCACCCAGCTGGAGCTCTGGGACTGCTCCTTGCTTCCATATGGCCTCTTTGGCACCTCAGCCACTCCACTCTTCCTACTCAGTTCTCCTAGGTCATAGGAACAGCTGGTCTAACTTACCAGTAGAGAGGTGACAGTTATGGCTTACATCCAAGTACCACAACAGCTTCAGCTTTACTCAGCTTCCCCACACAAAACTCCCTCTGTATCTGTACTGGGTTTACATGGCAAGGTTTTGGCAGCTGGGGGTCTTCAGGGGTGGCCTCTGTGAGGTGAAATCAGGGGCTGTGCCTTTGTAGGCAGAGCTGGCTCCAGTTGGCTCCAAAACAGGCCCACCACTGGCCAAAGCTGAGCCCATCAGCAATACTGGTGGCATTTCTGTGATAACATATTTAACAAAAGGGGAAAATGCTGCACAGAAGCTGCAAGAGAGGAGTGAGGAAAATGTGAAACAGCCCTGCAGACATCAAGCCAGTAAAACAGAAGGAAGAGGATGTGCTCCAGCTGCCAGAGCAGAGACTGTCCTACAGCCTGCAGAGAAGATCATGGTGAAGCAGGTCATCTCCCTGCAGCCCATGGAAGACTATGCTGGAGCTGGTGAGCATGCCCTGAAGGAAGCTGCAGCCTGTGGAGAACTCCTGCTGGAATAGGCTCCCATCAAAAACTGCATCCCATGGAGGACCCACACAGGAGCAGTCTGCTCCTGAATGACTATACCCCTGTGGAGAGATTCTATGCTGGAACAGGGTAGAAGCACGAGGAGAAAGGAGCAGCAAAGTGTTACTAACCACAACCCATATTCCCCATTCTCCGGCAGGGAGGGAGATAGAAGAGTCAGGAACAAAGGAGTGAAGTTGAGCCTGGGGAGAAAGGGGAGGTTGAGGGGAAGGCATTTTCCTGTCAGTCATTTTCTCCAGCCTGTCAAGGTCTCTTCAAATTTCAGCACACTCATGTGGTCTACCAACCACTCCTCCCAGTTTTGTATCATCTGCAAACTTGCTGAGGATGCATTCTGTCCCATCATCCAAGTCATTAATGAAGATCATTAACAGCATTGGCCCCAATATTGGCCTATAGGGTACATTGCTGCTTGCTGCCCTCCAGCTCGACTTTGTCAGTGATCACAACATTCTCAGACCTGAAGCTCAGCCAGTTCAGTCTGCTGCACTGTCATTTTACATAGTCCATATTAATCTCTGATAACATCCTCAGCAACAAACTGGTGGTATCAAATGTCTTGCTAAAATCAAAATAAACAACATTCACTGCTTTTCCCTATCTACCAAACCAGTCATTTCATCGCAGCTTATCAGGTTGGTCAAACATGACTTTCCCTTGGTGAATCCATACTGACTATTCTTGCAAACCTCCTTATCCTTCATGTGCCTGGAAGTCATTTCCAGGATTAGTTGCTCCATCACTTTCCCAGGGATTGAGGTGAGGCTGACCAGCCTGTAGTTCCCTGGGTTTTCCTTCTTGATCTTTCTGAAGAGAGGAATGACTTTCGCTTTCCTCCAGTCCTCAGACACCTCTCCCAATCACCATGATTCATTCAAAGATTATTGAGAGTAGCTTTGCAATGACATTGGCCATATCCTGCAGCACTCATAGGTATGTCCTCACCATGGCTCATGGACCACTCCAGTTTGTCCAGTTTGTTTAAATATTCCCTAACCTGATTCTCCACCACCGAGCGTAAATTTACCTTGCCCCCTTCCAATGAAGTCAAGGGGGCTGGGATTCCTGAAGACCTATGTTACCAGTAGAGACTGAGGTGAAGAAGGCATTGTGTACCTTGGCCTTTTCCAAACGCTTTGTCATTAGGTCCTCTATTGCATTCAGCAGCAGCCCCACGCTTTTCACAGCCTTCCTTTTGCTGCTGGTGTACTTGTAAAATGTTTCTTGTTGCATTTCACTTCCCTTGCCAGATTTAACTTCAGGTGGATTTCAGCTTTCCTAATCCTATAATTGCATGC